ATCATGAAATATAAGGTTAATTCAACTAGGAGTGTTTGAGAGTCTCTACAAGATGGTGAAAACCTCCTAGAGAATTTCAGGTGAAATTGAAACAATAAAATTCCAAATACTACTAATTTTGGCAGATTTTCAAATATGTTGTTTTAATTTTATTTAGAATTTTGTAAGAAGTCAACTTTCTTGATTTTGTAAAGACCCACTTGGTTGAACTTAGTATAAAATTTCAAAATGAATTCCATAATAAATATTATTCCAATAAAACAGCGATCAGAATTCCAAGGGAATACTATATAATTTCATAACATATAGTTACCATCTCTGCTGAGAGTATACCATTAGATTTCACCCCAGCAAGCAGGAAAGATAGAAGGTCCACCCAGTTCCTTATGAAAGGGTCCTTGAGCTCCAATGAGTCCATTATTTCTGAGAAAGGTCGGAGAAGTTTTGTTGCACCAAAAGCCCCTTGAGGTCCCATCTGGAGAAAAGATTTCAACAGAGAAGGGGCATATCTAGCTGCAGCAGTGGAGAGAACACCGAAATCACCTCGGATGGACAAAGGAGGCAAAGCCATTGCAGCTGTAGACAATGGAAGAATTGCATCCTGCAAAATAATAGTGATTTCCAAAGATTAGGAAGTAGCAATACAAATTTTTAAAAGAGGGAACTCTTGATGGGTTGAAAAATCACAAAACCTAAAGAAACTTGATTAAGATTTGATATCCTATAACAATTTCACAGGTGGTTCTTTAAAAAAGTAATTATGCAAATCTTAGTTAAATTGAAATGAAAATAATTTCGTGCCTCGGATACAGATATGAAGTAAAGTAATGGTGCTCACAAGAAGTTTTTTCCACTCTTGCACTGCATTCTGACTTGCATACTTCTCAAGGTCCTGAAGAAAACAAAATATTTATGCGACAAATATTATTCACAAAAAGAAAATCATTAACAAGAAAGTAACAAGAACAGGATAAAGCACGTGGGATGTTTGGGTGGTTATGGACAGATATGCCAACTTGAAATAGTATAGCAGGTTTTCCTACTCTATTTTATGTACGAGCAAGAATGCACTGCCTACCATAAGGTTTGATAGAAAGTTAAAAACAGAGATCAGGTATCAAGTTTCACTTAAATTTTTTGACTAATTTTTCCTTTTTCAGGGGCTGCATTGAGGATAGGGTTCTTTGCTCAAGCAACTTTATGAAAAGGCTGAGTATGTTGCCAACAGCTCTTTCTTACAAGAGCATACAAGTAAATGAATACCTAGAATATGCTCCATTCAATTAAGGATTACAAACCATCATGGAAGCACAATTATGACATTCCTAAATATAGCAAAATATAAAAAAATGGCCGAAAATTATCATGGCTCGAGGAGTTTACCTTGAAGAACTCTGTGGGGCCAATACGTGACAAGAATTCACCCTCAGGTATGTAGACCATCCAAGAGTCATAATTGGCACAAGGAAGTGGCTCACCCAGTGCATCCAGAACCTGCAATCAATGTCAGATAGTTGAACAACATCCATGTTGACATATATGTGATACTGAGAATTCGATTCCATTTATTTCCATCCACATAAGATACATTTGTGAAGAATGATGATTCTATCTACTTGAGGAAATGCTAGATTCATCACTAGACAAAACACCTAACAGATCTTTTCTTCTTAGACTGTGATAATTAATGTGGAGACATTTGAATTTGAGGCCTTGTCCTTTGAAGAAAAACATGACCAATAAGTAGGCTATATTGCAGTTACACCAAAATGCAAATCATGACAGACATGATTAGGGGTTTAGGAGTGCCAAAATGGAAGCATAAGCATCAATCAATATAAGAAGCACAAATAGAAAAAGTGGGGGAAAAGGTATATAAAATTGTGATTTGCACTTGTCACCCACTCCCAGCCTTACCCCCAAAACAGGGGAGAAAATTCAGGAAGACTTACCTCAATCTCCTATAACAAAAAATAAATACATAAATAAAAGTAAAAATAAAAATGAAAATAAAAGTAAAGATAAAAGACCAACCTCATTCCAATTTTCTCGTATGGTAACAATCACACACACTATAGAAAAAAGGTACCATTTATTTCATCTGAAAACCATGGGAGACATCCTGAACTTGGTTAAAATAGAAGCTCACAGGTATTCAGAAAAAGTCTTGAGCTAACCTTTTTTTTTTCCTTGAAAATAGCCAAGAAATGTTGAAAATATGAGTCAGACTCTCAGATCAGAATGTTAATAGATAATGCGAAAGATTCCCAACAATGATTAACAGATATGGAAGAAGGCATCCTCATTTTTTCTTGCCCATTCCACAATATAAAACTGAAAATATTTGGTTACATTTATCATTAGTTATACATACTACCATCTCTATCCCATGGCTATTGATCATCAGCTACCTGATATCACCGCATCTAGAGAAAGAGCAAAAAAACTAAAAAGAACATCA